AAATATATAGGGGAGTTTTTTGTCAAAGAAGAACATACCTTGCAGACATGTTTCTGACTTAAAATACCACAATTTATTCAATTTGTTTATACCTTTTTGTTAAAACTTGTAATATTTGAAAAACATGTAGAAGACTTTTTAAAAAAATTGTATTAACTGGCTTTATTTAAAAGTGCAAATAAAATTGAAAACACTAAGTCATGCTGATTCAAAACAATATTTCATGGGTGTATAGCAATTAAAAAATTTTAAGGGGCTGGGGTTGTGGCTCAGTGGTAGAGCGCTAGCCTAGCACGTGCAAGGCCCTGGGTTCAATCTTTGGCACCACATAAAAATAAATAAATAAAATAAAAGTATTGTGTCCAACTACAACTAAAAAATAAATATTTAAAAAAATTTTTAAATACTTAAGTAGTTATTTTCTGATTGTCACAACTACCTTGTAAAGCTAGATGGTGCATTTTTCTTTTTTATACTGATTAAGAAAACTGAGGTTCACAATGTTAAGGTACTTGTCTGTGATCTTATGGTCTAATAAGCAAACAGAAATACTTGATTTTAGATTTCAGTCTTAATTTAGTGTGCTTTCTAATTTAGTCTATATCCCTTCTACTGTAACCAGTAGACTTCCTTGCACATCAAAGCTCTGTAAATATTGTTTCCTAATTGATTTTTAAGTAATAGATTATTAATAATTTTCATCTCAGAAAACTTGAAAATCTGTCATCATTGAAAACAGTACTAGTGGGATGTGTGTAAGATTAGGGTTCATTTCTTCATGCTTTATTTACATCTGAATGCTCATCTATGTTAAAACTATTTCTAAAGCAACTCTTTTCTAGCTGAATTTTTAATCTTTACATTTATCATTAATAGTTCTTTCCTTCCAATGTTTCTGAAGGCAGTGATCACCCCTGAAAATCAACTTTCTCCCTATCTGTGAGCTCCTTAAAAAGCAGAGTGGTTTGAATATAAGGCAGTAGATATTTAAGGACAGAATGGGGTCACTCAGGTGAAATGGGGAATATAAGGCACTGTTACTCCTATGAATACTCCCACTCCTAAATCATCTCATTTACACCAAGGCTTAAACTCCCTAAGGGACAAGTCATATTAAAACAAAATCTAATAAATGAGAAAGAATAACTTCTGTCTGTTGCATGCTGTTATTCATTATTAGGTAATCTTATTCAACTAATTACATTTTTTAAGGCTAACCTACTAATTTGAATATTTATAATGATAAAATATTGCTTACAAAGATTTTCCTGAATTTTCTTTCTTTCCATTTTTGTAAATGGCTTTACGGGTATATTATTGATATTTATAAATAATACGTAAAGATTACATTTAATAAGTTTTGATAGATGAAACCACTCATAAAACCATCACTGTAATAAAGAAAATGAATATATTTCTTTTTGCCTCTTTGTAATCCCACCCTCTTACTCCTATCCTTCCCCCTTCCACTACCACCACCACCCAGGGAATGGCTGTTGTGATATCTGTCACTGTTATATTATGTTTTTTAGAATTTTATATAAATGCAATTATGTATTTTTGCATGATGTGATTATTCTGAAATTCATTAATGTATATATCAATATTTTATTGCTGAGTATCTTTCCATTTTATGGATATACAGCACAAGTTTTTTTTTTAATATGTTTCCTTTTTTATAGATATTTGAATTGTTTACTGTTTTGGGCTATTACAAATAAAGCTGCTATACATCTCTGAATTGATATGTACTTTCAGTTTTATTGACAGGAATATTTAATGGTACATTCATGTGTCAGGTGTATGTTTAACAATTTAAGAAATTGCCAAAGTGTTTTCAAAAGTTGTATATTGATATTTACTTTCCCACCTGAAGCACTTTAGAGTTCCAATTTCTCCATATCCTTGGCAATACTTGGCATGGTTAATCTTTTTTACTGTTAGTCATTCTAATGTTATCTCATTGTGGGTTTAGCTTATATTTCTTAAATGACTAATGACTTTGAGCATTTTTTCATGTACTTGTCATTCTTATAATTTCTATGGTAAAGTGACTAATTGAGATCTTTGCCTGTTTCTTAACTGGGTTGTTTGCTTTATTGTTGATGAGTTTTGAATATTATTCATATCTTATGGATACAGACCTTTAATTAGATAAATTATTAGCAAATACATTTTCTTTATCTATGGCTTGTCTTAGTGCCATTCATAGTGCCTTTCAAAGAACAGGTTTGAATTTTGATACAGCCTCTTTATTAATTAAATCCTTTATGGATTATGTTTTTGGTATTATATATAAGAAATTTTTAACTAACTCAATGACAAAATATTTTTTGATGTTTTTGTCTAGAAGTTTCATAGCTTTAGATTTTTCATTTAGGTTCATTATGCATTTGAAATTAATTTTTGTATCTGATGTGAGGTATTGATTGAAGTTATTTCTCTTCCTCCTCCACCTGTTTTGAATGTAGATATCCCTTTATCTTGGGAAAATTTATTGCAAAGATTATCCACTCTCCATAGAGGTACTTTTTCTAACTTTGTAAAAAAATCTATTGTCCATATATGTATTTGTCTGTTTCTGGGTTCTATTCTGTTTCATTCATCTCTTTTCCATTTTTACACAAATACCTCATGGGCCTTATTATCATAGTTTTATGGTATGTCTTAAATAAGGTGGTATTATTCCTCAAATATATTATTCCATTTCAAAGTTGTTTTGGCTATTCTTGATCCATATGCATTTCAAATTCATTTTGTCAATTTATATAAAAAGTCTACTGGGATTTGGATTTGCATTGCATTGAATCTATAGATGAATTTCGGTAATGTTGACATTTTAGCATTATTAGGTCTTCAATCTGTGAGCACAGTATCTCTCATTTTAGTTGTAATAATTTCTATCGAAATATTTTGTAGTTTTCAGTGCATAGATCCTAAGCATGTTTTAGCAAATGTATTCCCTAAATAGTTCTATTTTTGATGTATTGCAAATGATATTTTAAAACAATTTCAATTCCATCAGTTATCACATATGAATTCAGTGGCATAAAATTGCTCAAAATATTCCCTTATTATTAATACCTGTGGTGTATGTAGTGATGTTATCTCTCTCATTTTTCATAGTGTTAGTTTGTGTCTTCTAGTGTTTTTCCTCTTCAGTCTGGCTAAAGGTTTATCAGTTTTACTGATCTCCTTAATAAGCTTTTAGGTTTCTTGATCTTTGTTTATTTTTTGTTTGTTTTCTGTTTTATTATATTCTATCTCAAGATTAGATAAGGCGGAAACTAAAGTCATCATTTTGAGACCTTCATTTTTAAAATTCAAGCATTGAATCCACATTTTCACATATTGTTTATAGGTGCATTGTAGTTATACATAATAGTTCCCATTTTTAGTGTTAAAAATTTCCCTGGAATTATTATTCTAAGCAACACCCCATAGTTTTTTTTAATATCTTGTGTGTTTCATTTTTAGTTATTTAAATGAAAATTTCTTCTTTGATCTATCAGTTATTTTGTAGTTTGTTTTCAGATATTTAAGGCCTTTCCAAATATTTTCATTGTTGAATTCTGTTGTTAATTCTATTTTAATGTGACTTTTGAATGTTTTAAAAATTTATTGGGACTTGTTTTATGTTCTAGAATGTGGTCTGCCTTGGTAAATATTAGGTATGCTCTTGAAAAGTATGTGTACTTGTTCTTGAAATGTCTGCTGCGTCAAGTTGATTGATAGTATTGCTCAAATCTTTATCTTTAATGACTTCTGTCTACTTGAGAGAAGGGTTGAAATTCTGTCAATAATTGTCTATTAATCTTTTTTTCCCTGTGGTTCTACTAACCTTTTGTTTCATGTGTGTTAAAACTCTGTTATTTAATACATCAATGTTTTGGATTGTTAGCTCCTTTTGATAATTGACCCCTATGTCCTTATGAAATGACCTTCTTGACCATGCTGATATTCATTGCTTCAGCTGCTTTATCTTACATTGATGTAGCCATTCCAACTTGCTTCTGACTAATCTTGTAATAGTATAGTTTTTACACCTGTTTCCTATTGCTTATTTGTGTTTTGTAATTCAATTTGATTTCTTGTTGGCCTCACTCTTTCATCCAGTTTGATAATCATTATCTCTAAGTGAGATATTCATTTCTGAGTTCTATTCCATTTATATTTAATGTGATTATGGAGATGTTTAGATTTACGTCTTTTCATATATTCTTTATTCTTTGTTCCTTTCCCCCTTTTTACTCCATCTTTTGGATTGATGTTATGTTATGATCTACTTAATGTCCTTTGTTTCTTCTTAGCTTTAGCTTCTTGATTTATTATCTTAGGATTTATAATGTATGTCTTAGCTTATTGTAGTCTAAGTATTATATTACTAAATGATAGCATGCCACTTTATACATAGTATAAGAACATCACAATTTATACTTATATTTCTCCTCTTCCTCACTTGGTATTAATTTCATATACTTCACTTCTGCCTGTGTATGAACCCCACACTACATGGCTGCTATTTTTACTTTGAACATCTAATAAATAATTATTCTTTTAGTGAAATTTTATTTCTTCATGTGAAATCAGATTTCCATCTCTATCAATTTTCTTTTTGCCAGAGGACTGACTTTAATACTTTTTCCCTCATGCATACCTGGTGATTATGGATTCTTTAAGCTTTGGGATATCTAAAGGAAGCCTTTCGCTTAATATTTATTTTGAAAGATATTTTTGCTGGGTTTAGGATTTTAGGATTGCAGCTTTTCTTTCCTTTTGGTACTTCACTGTTGCTACACTATCTTCTTATTTATGTTACTTCTGACAATCTGCTGTAATTCTTATCTTTGTTTTTCTGATATAATGTATTTTTTTAAATTTAGAAATTCTGAACTTGCCGTCTGTAATAACTTACCTCAATGGATTTGATGTCCTCCTTTTAAAAACTATCCAGTTCTTTCACATCCAAGTTAATGTTTAGCCCTTATATTTTACTGTAGGCCTGAAGTGACAGAAGATTTGCCACTGGCCACCCAGAGACGCAGTTTTCAGACTGTCCAGTGCAACTGCAGTGCTCAAGAATGTTGTGAATGCCATGTGCCTGTACCAGCAGCCAAACTCAACTACACTCTTCTTATGTATTTGAAAATTGCATCTGGTGGAGTAACTTTTCAGTCACCCCTAATGTCAGTTCAGCCCATAAATGTTGGTAAGTCCTGCATTAAAATGATAACAAACCTCAACATCAATTATACAGAAAGGTTACAGATTGCTTAAAAGATTTTTCACTGGGGCTGGAGTTGTGGCTCAGCAGTAGAGTGCTTGCCTAGTGCGTGTGAGGTGCTGGGTTCAAGCCTCAGCACCACATAAAAATAAATAAATAAAATAAGCGTATTGTCTCCAACTGCAACTAAAAAATAAAAATTTTAAAAAAGATTTTTCACTAGCTTATATCTTTTTGACCAACACTGTAAATTATGGTAAATGTAATAGTAGGATATATTATGATCATCTTCTAGATTGAGATAATAGTATTTTCTTTTAAATTCTTTTAAAAAAGCACTTTGATTTCTTTAAATTCTAGATCTAATGGATATGAATTATTTGATTATCACTTTTTCATATCTCAGATAACTAATTCTGAAAATTATTACAAGTATATTTCTGCCCGAGTTTACTTCTTCAATGAATATTTCTTAGAAATCATGTTTGTCATGGACTGTTCAAGGGGCTGGAGAAACAGTTGAGAACAAGAGAAAATTCCTGTCTCATAGAACAGGGGCACATGGTAATTCCTGTCTAATAGAACAGGTAACAAATGATAAAAAGGTGAACAAGTGAGCAATTTATCGCACAAAGCTGATTATAAGAAAACCTCAAATAATAGATGGTGCCCTTTTTACTTAGTGCAAAGATCCCCAAACCTCTTTTGGTCAATTTAAATATACAATTACAAACATGAATAGTAGACACAAATGGTAGCTAAAAGTATTTGTTAACTCAGTTTTGCATATACAAGTTAAGCTATCTTATATATTATATATATTTCAGCAGTGTTGCTAGTTTCTTTTTTTTTTCTTTTTTTTAAAGAGAGAGAGAGAGAGAGAGAGAGAGAGAGAGAGAGAATTTTTTAATATTTATTTTTTAGTTTTCGGCAGACACAACATCTTTGTATGGGGTGCTGAGGATCGAACCCGGGCCGCATGCATGCCAGGCGAGCGCGATGCTACCGCTTGAGCCACATCCCCAGCCCGCTAGTTTCCATTTATATTTCCTGAAATAATTATATGCAACTGTACATCCATCTTTTCACCATTGATTTTTACATAACTGGTGTCACTTTTCTGATTATTTGTCACAATTTTACTTCTTTTTTAAGTCTCTTAAGATATACCACTTTTTGAGTCTGTGCATATTTTTTTTAACATTAGGATTTTCAAATAATTTGTTCTCTAGGGATATATTTGTGATCTTTCCAATATATTTATAGTGATATCCAAGCAATTCAATTGTGAAGTTACACCAGAGGAAAAAAATTTAAAAAACATTGTTAATATTATCTTCTTTTATCTTTAAAACTAATTTCCACATGGTGATTTTTACAAATATTTATGCTAGTATTGCTTTTAATTAATTTTAATTTTTTAAAGTACTAAACTGCTACGATAAATTACCAAGAACTTGAAAACTTTCTTAATTTTGTCTATATATGGAGATAATTTAGGAAAAAAATCCTTTCTTATATTGGGCATATATAATAATATCTGAAAATTGTAAATACTTTGAAAGAAATAAAACAAGAGGTATAATGGAGTGTTGGGGGTAGATGCAATCATTTCTGCTATGGAGGTCAAAGAAAACTTCCTTTAGAGCATAGTACTTAAACTGGAAGGAGGAGCCCAGAGAAGGCCAATTTGTTTAGGGTTGTAACAGTGGAGAAGTAAAGAACTGATGAGATATGGATTTATTTGGAAAATGCTGCTGACTGGACTCTCTAGTGGGTTGAGTTACAAGGTGTGAAAGATAGAGTGGAATGAAGGATAAACTTTAGACTTGGACCTGAGAATACAAGGGAAAGTAATACCAGATACCAAGGGGTAACTGAGGCTTAGATGTGTGTGCAGAAATCCAGAGCTTTATTTGGAACACATTGTGCTTGAGATCCCTATTAGAAACCCAAGAGATATTGAGTAGGCCATTGGATATGTGATTTTAAAGTTCTGGGGAGATACATACTTGGGAGTTGTTAGCATATAGGATTGTATGATATCACTCATTTAGAGTTCAGGAAGAGAAGGACTTAGGGGTGATCTGTAAGAATGAAGGAATAAAAGAGTGTGTTGTCCTGGAAAAATGTATTTCAAGCAGAAGGGAGTAAGCAGCAGTTGGAACATGGCTGGGAGGCGGAGGAAGGCAAATGGGTAATTTTCATTGGAATTGGTAAAGAGCAGATTCAGTAAGTTGATGAGCAGGGTATGACTGGAGTAGGTAGGTAGAGGGTGGCATGCAAAATGGAGAGTGAGCCATGCCAATTCTGAGGAACGTTGTTCAGGAAGAAGCAGTTAGGTGTGAGTAAATCTGAAACTAGGCATATAGGGGATTCAGGGAAAATTTATTTTTGTACTTCTATTACTGATGCACATTAGTATATTGATAAGAAATATATAGTAGTTATAATTTTATGATTTAACTTTGCTTTGTTTTAGGTCATGGAAACACAGTAAAATCCATCTATTGCTTACCAGATATTATGTTTTATTATCCCTGCTTTAAAGTAACTTCAATTTATAATATGACCCATTAAATAAAATCTTATCAATTTGACTGAAGAAGAAAACTACATCTAAATTCCCGAAAATGTGGAATGTGAAAATATCTCTTATGCCCCTTTAATTATGAGAATGAAATTCCAACCAGTTAATGTTTCAGTGGCATGATGATTTCTATGTTATGAGTAACTCCTATTAATTGCAAAATCTTGCAAATATAGGTGTGCAAAGAAGAAAATGCATATTTATTTTCTACCATTTTGATCATCTTCTGGTTTTTAATATATATTTGTATATATACTTTTTATTTATTAACTTCAACAAATCAAGAATCCAAGTATAAGACAGACTTTTAAAACAGTAACAATAAATAAACATTTTCAATATTCTGCAAGAAGATTGGCTGTATAGATTTATGGTATGAACAATAATTTATTTGAGCAATTCTTTATTAAAATACATTTAATTTCTACAAATATTATAAAGGCTTTATTGTTTAAAACAACATATACACATATATAGATACACACACACTCTCTTAAATCAATACGTACATATCCATAAACATGCTCACATACATTTTAATTCACAAATACCTTATAAAACTCTATTAAGCTTAGAAACTTCATCTCTATTTCTGGTGACAACCAGGGTGGATAGTAAATTTATTGTGTGGTAATATTCATGCTGTGGGTTATTTTAACAGGTGTGTTTGTATTGTGATTTTGAATGAATAGATATGCCGAATTTTGTATAATTTATCCATTTTTCAAATAGCGTTCTGTAAAGCGCTTTTCCCCCTTGATATTCACTGAAACAAGCAAGGTGGGGATTGGGAAAAGACTTCAAGTAAGTTTAAGAAATATTGAGTTAAATAAAGTTTAGCAGGCTTTTTATACAGGAAATCACATTTATCAAAATAATCTCATTTACCAATTTGTAGTCTTTACCACTTAGGGGGAAGGAAATGAAGATATGTGGATTGTTATGATAAAGTACAAAGAATAAGCCCAATATTATAACTTTGTTTTGGTTTGTAATTAGCCCTGAGTGAAGTTACCTTTTAAGTAGTTAAAAGGYAGGATATGCTTAAAATTCATGTTGACTTCATTTTATTCAGAGAGTGGTTATCATGAAAATTGCTTGACTTAAAGTATTCTCTCTTTTTTTTTTTTAAGTGAAGCCTGATCCACCATTAGATGTGCATATGGAAATCACAGATGATGGAGATTTAGAGGTTTCTTGGCACAGCCCAACATCAGTACCGTTTCCACTTCAATATCAAGTGAAATATTCAGAAAATTCTACGACAGTTACAAGGGAAGTAAGTATATTTCAGTAAATAATATGACAACTTGAGTTGCTAAAGACTAAAGACTTCCCCAAATACCATAAAATTATCCTCTGCGTGTTAATATACGTGCTCCTTTTTAGAGCAAAATGAATTATTATTGAATGAATTATAATTTCGTTATAATTAATAAATACACATACACACATGCACGTGGCCACAGGAACTCCATTTGCAGAAACTTTAATTCATAATTATAACTGTTTTTCAACTAGAGACTATTTTTTTTACAACTCATCGTTTTAGTATTGCTTAATATATTCGTTTACACATTAATTTATTGATTTTACCGTAAAGTGTGTCAAAACCTTCTTTATTCATTAAATATTTATTTATTTATTTATTTAATTTTTTTTTTAAAGAGAGAGTGAGAGAGGGGAGAGAGAGAGAGAGAGAGAGAATTTTTTTTTTAATATTTATTTTTTAGTTCTCGGCGGACACAACATCTTTGTTGGTATGTGGTGCTGAGGATCGAACCCGGGCCGCACGCATGCCAGGCGAGCGCGCTGCTACCACTTGAGCCACATCCCCAGCCCTCATTAAATATTTATTGAGTACCTCTTTGGTGCTAGGAGCTGTTCTATGTGCATCGGGAAATGTTGAAATACTAGAACAGGATAAGAAGAATTTGGGGTACTGGTGGGAAACAAAGGTTGTAATAGTAAATGTAACCTACATTTAACCTGGTGGGCCGCATTGAGAAGGTGACATTTGCAATGGATTTGAAGGAGATGGCCAGGTGTCTGACAGAATTAGGTTCCAAGCAGAGAGAGCAGCAATGCAGAGGAGGCCACTGTGGCTGAAGAAGTTAGCCCCAGTAGTGGTGGACAGTATCAGTGGGGTAAAGAAGGAAGAGCTCATAAATAGCTTCTTGGGACATGTGACTGGTTTTGCTATTACTTCATGAAACTAAGTGTCATATAATTCAGAAGTAAACACCAGTCTTTTTAGATCTGGGCTAATTTTTTTAAGGTTTTATTTTCACAAAAAGAAGATTGGTAATACTGTGTCATATATGGGAAAAAGTAGAGTTAAGGTGTCTGTGGTTTTCTCTCTCATCTATAGAGATAATAGGATTTTAACTATGGGCAATTTGATATTGTTTCATGCATTGCTGATGCTTTTCATCATTTTTAGTCTATGACTTCCATGGTCTTAAGAGGCCAGAGAGTTTAATAACTTTGGAGAACATTATTGGAAAACTGAATTTATTCACCAGATCATTCTTAGCCAGAGGTTGTTTAGTGCAGGGATTGTCTCAGATGTTTTACTCTGGTTTATAAACTATATTTTGACTCATGACCTGTAGATTATTCTCAGACTCAGGTCCTTAAAAATTACTCATGCTCTCCTTCCACGCAGCTGTCCTCTAGGAACCCTCCTAGCTCTCTCTCCACCCCTGCACTTCATTTTCTATCAGATGTGTTATAGATGGCTGCAGTGGCTTGATTTTAGCTTCATTTCTCAAAATTCTAAAAGTCACATTCATAATATATTTTTAACACATGGGCTATCTAAAATTATATTAAATAATGTACTAACATTTGTTATTTGGTCACTGATGGCTCTTTTAATCACATTGTTATCAATTAACTACTCTGTAAGACTTTAATTCTTTGAAATTTGTTGAGATCACTTTTGGTAAAGGTTTCATATTAATTTGATGCTCTGATGTTTTAAAATAATACTTAACAGGCTGATGAGATTGTCTCAACTACGTCCTTTCTAATATATGGTGTGCTTCCTGGGTCCTTGTATGAGGTTCAGGTGAGGGGCAAGAGACTGGATGGCCCTGGAATCTGGGGTGACTGGAGTACCCCTCGCATCTTTATCACGCAAGGTAGGTTTTGTGATAGCTTCTGTTGAGAGGGAAGTATATTTCTCAATTTGCCTATGGTACATTGTCAGCAGGTTATGTTTTATGACTCTAAAACAAAAGCGGGGGCACAATATTTTCTTTAAATTTAGAATAGGCTAATTTGTTAATTAAAATCGTGTCAGAGTTCCTATGTTTATATGCTTCCATAGCAGCATCTTGTTGAATTGCTTTTTATTAGAAGTTAATATAAAATCCCAAATTAACAAATTCAGAACATCATTCCATTAGTAATTCTTTAATTTATGTTTGAAAACCAAGTATATATTTATTTGATATAAATTTGAAATATTAAAATTTTAATATTATATTCCACATAACAGATGAATTCTTGTCACTCCAAATGCTTGATTTTACAGTTTTCAATATATATTTTTTTATTGTTTCAAGGATTTACTTATTTATTTATTTCATAGTGCTGGGGATTGAACCCTGAATCTTGTGCATGGTTGGCAAGTACTCTACCACAGTTACATCCCCAGTCCCTGAATTTATTTTTATCATCAGAAAAACTGCACTTTATTATAACTTCTTCATGAAGATGATGGATGTAGATACATAGGAGTTGTGGCATAGTCCTAGCCCTGTCACATGCTAAGTTGTGATTATAGGAAAAGACTTACTGGCCCTTTGGTTGTCTGATCTATTTGAAGGGATTTTTTCCTTATTCTGATTTTTTCCTTATATTTATTCCTTATTCTTAATTATGAATATGGAATATGGAAATAACATAAATATAAATTTGGAAATAACAAGTACCATTTAAATATTAAGCAAATATTCAAGTCATTTAATGTGACGAGTTTATTTATTAATTAATACTAAAAAGCATTAATTAGTCAGAAAGCAAGTAGTATTGCTGGTTTACTGTAATTATGTAATTATATGATGGTATGTAAATCTTAAATAAAATCTTAAATATATAACCAGGTTCAGATTTCTCTGTTGAAAAATAACCACAGTTGACAGGTATGAGGTATGCTTCCTGTATTTCAGGCAAGTGTGCAGTTAATGAAAGATAGACTATTCCTAATCAAGGAATTTTTATGGTTTTATATATATATATATATATATATATATACACACATATATATATATTTATATATACACACACATATGTATATATGTAAAATCTTATGGATTCTTATATAAATATACATACACATATAACAAGTACTATTATTTCTGTTTTGTATATGAGATTGAGATTTAGAGAAGTAATTTGTAAAAAAAAAAAGTTTACACAGTTAGTGGTAGGACTTGCTGTCTAACTCCAATGTCCATTGCAAACATACTACAAGGCAGATTAGTGCACCATCTATAATTATAATTATGTAAGATTTCCAGTGACATCAAAAATTGGTACTGAGACCTATTAATCAAAATTATGTAAAACATAATTTCCTTTGCAGTATGTGGGAAATGAAGTTTTAGAGTTGCATGGAGTTTTTTGTTTGTTTCTTTGCTGAATTGTCTTGGCAGCAGTGTCTACTTTCATAGCAATTAATGATACTTGCGCTTTATCTTCTGAATGGCATACAACACCACAACAGGTTTCTCCAAACTTGGGAACTTTCTATTCTTTGTATAGAGAATTCTTCTTGCTTAAGTCAAAGTTCTTAATATTATTGGATTGTCTTTCATTGATAACAGCATTGATATTGACCTATGATATTGACCTATGATATTGTCATAAATTTATATACCGTGAACTAATATGAGCACCTCATTTCCAATTTGGATTTTATCTTTTTTTTTTTGAACAGAGATTGCCTGATATAGTCCTGTCATAACAAACAATATGAATTATTATTACCTTTAAAGTTCCTTTTATTCATTGATACAATTGTACCTACGAAGTGTGCAGTTAATGAAGGATTGATTATTCCTAATCAAGGAATTCTTAGAAATTCTCTTGAAAGGAATTGGCAGGGTTTACTCTCTATAGCTGTTGGAAGGTCTTAGCTTTTAGAGGAAAACCCAGATCTTTTACCAGAACTGACCAAACCTTAGAATATTGCAATTAGGTTATGATATGTACCGAAAACAACTTTATTGAAAGCATTTTTGATGTTACCAAAGAAGAGAAGAAATAGACATTATGCAATTTTCACATTTCACTGTTGGCTGCTCTTATAATGAGATACAGACATTATTTTCCTCTTAAAGAAAAATAGATACATTTGCTCCAAGAATTAAAAACCTATTTTCTGAAAGAAACACCTATTCAAATAACTGTATCTGAAATTTTTTGATTCATGATTTATATTATTTTGAGTAATTCATAATTTTAATATTTATCAGAATTCATCTTTTAATAAAAGTTCATTCATGTAGATCTTGCAAAGATACTGCTGCAAGTGACTGTTACTAAAACACATTTTGCACTGAATAAGCCTCTGTGTTTAGAAGACAGCGGAGACATTCCTGACAGCTTGATTCACTTGAGAGCAGGAATTCTTGAGACACTGAATAGCTGCCATGAACAGGCATTTAGAGTCTTCCAGCTCTTAGAATACTGGTTTTATTTTTGTCAGTGTATTCCTGGAATGTGTTGTGAATCCTTTTTACAAGATGTATGTCGCTTCCATGATGTTTTCTGTCTTCATCTGAGCTCCTCTCTTTCTTTTCTTTCATTACAGATGTCATATACTTTCCTCCTAAAATTCTGACAAGTGTTGGGTCTAACGTTTCTTTTCACTGCATTTATAAAAATGAAAACAAGATTGTTTCCTCAAAAAATATTGTTTGGTGGATGAATTTGGCTGAGAAAATTCCTCAAAGCCAGTATCATGTTGTGAGTGACCATGTTAGCAAAGTTACTTTTCCCAACTTGAAAGCAACCAAGCCTCGAGGGAAGTTTACCTACGATGCAGTGTACTGCTGCAATGAACATGAATGCCACCATCGTTATGCTGAATTATATGTGATTGGTAAGAATTCTGAGGTTTTGTTCATTTAGTTCCGCTAGACACATTTTTATTATAGACCCTATATCAGTGGCCTATTAAAGATGTTAGGACAATTTTTTTTTTCATTAAAAGTTCTGGTGTTTTTGCTTTATATTAATATTTTAATGTGTTTTAAATAGATGTCAATATCAATATATCATGTGAAACTGATGGGTACTTAACTAAAATGACTTGCAGATGGCCAGCCAATATAGTCCAGTCACTTGTGGGAAGTACTCTGCACTTGAGGTATCACAGGTATGTGTTATTTTTGCTGCTTTATTTTTCTGTATGTATGGTGAAATAAAAATAAAAATTTTCCATAGAAATACCACTGATAGAGGCTGGGATTGTGGCTCAGTGGTTGAACACTTGCCTAGTACATATGAGGCACTAGGTTTTATCCTCAGCACCACATAAAAATAATAAATAAAATAAAGATATTGTGTCTGTCAATAATTAAAATTTAAACAATAAAAGGAAATACCACTGATAATAGTASTCTTGTAGATTTTCTTCCTGAAAGCAGAAGGTAGAATATAATTAGTGGGGAAATTTTTGAGGGATTAAATAAGTTGATAATTCTTGAAAAACATTTATACCTGAGGTTTAAAAATTTGTAACTTTTTTTTTACTTCAGATTATCTTATCTAACAACTGGTTTTCTTTCCATGTTTTTTATTGGTGCATTATAGTTACTTACAACCAGTTTTCTAAAATCGCATTTTAACTCTTAAATGATATTCAGGAAAAAATAGTTTATATACAATTTAATTTGACCTAGAAAATTCACTAGAGTAGAAGAATGTGGAGGATTAAAAAAGTTTATCATTTGGCTGAAGGTTAATATTTTAGAAAAAAGAGGCAGACACAAAGTATTCTAATAGACAATATGAATGTTTTTTAGAACTGGATGATGTTTTAGGAAATATGTTAATGAAGAGTAAAATGTTCTAATAAAGAGAAATGTGTGCCTGCTTTTTACCTTTCTTTGTTTTAAATACAATTTGAGAAATCAAATTGTGAAGGAACCATTATAGTCATTTCTGTAATCTTAAATGCTCAGTATATACCACCCCCTGCATCACTGGGCAGAAAAATCAACCCAAAAATCTAATTATTTCTGAGTTATGGTTAGCATATAGTCATTGATAGTTGTAATGGGGACTGTGATGTCAGTTCCTTTATTTGCTCAAGACCATGTGGATGAAGAGGAATAAATGTGAGATTCTTGATTTGTACCCACATGAAGATCACACGATATGTTACCTTGGGATGCGCATGGCTACTCATCTCAGAAGCTGTTTGCTGTTTCAAGCACAGTCACACAGTTTGACACCATAGAAGATATTCATTAAGAAATTTCTAGTCCCATCTTGCTGTAAAAATGAAGTTATTAGAGAATTTTAGTTGCTATGGGGGGAAAAACACACTCCTCTTGAAAAATAAAAGAATGCATTAAAAAAACAATTTAAGACATATTCTCACAGTATTCCCCTTGTTTCTATAAAGCATTTTATCTAGAATGATATCACCTTTGATAAGAAGTTAGATACAGTGTCATTTAAAAAATACTTTATAGTATTTTAAAATATATGTACTGTTCTTAAACACTGTGCTCCAATTTGGTCTTTATTTGTATTGGAGACTGAACATGTAGAACATGCTCATTTGTTTTTAGAATCTAAAATTTCTACTTGAAAAACGAATCCCCTCCTTCAAATATTGTGATTTGAATTCTGTTCCTAGTTGCTATGATTCTATTCGTATGAAGTGTCAAGAAAAAAAAGTGACTATTTCTGCATTTCCCAAATTAGGAAAAATAGCTGCCTTTATCCTACCTGGTATTAGTTTTTAAAGTCAATATAATATTCATGATATGGCATTTTACTTTTATAATCTCTCTTTACATTCTTTGCATGGTGTTTTCACATTAAAAGAGGTGTTAATGGAAGATTGTAATATAAACCCCATACCCAATTGACCTCACTAACATTTATAGAATAACCATGGCACTAGCTGTACATTCTTGGGTTTAACTTCCTCAAGCCTAAACTTTCTTTGCTATTATAGATAGGACCTAAAGGGTTTCTATGAAAAATAATGCCATATTTCATTTACTTACAATTAAATGATATAACTTCTAGAAAACATTCAGTAAGTGATTACTGCTGTCAGAATGACAATGATGCTAAACATTTGATTTGACTTCAAGTGGATATTGCTATGCTTCTACAGTGTTCTTATGTTTTATACACAAATGGTCCCTCATCTCTTGTTTTTATTTTTCCCCTCTTATTATTACTTATATCTTCAATTTGGTAATCTTCAGGAAATAAGAAATCATTACAAAAATGAGAAATGAGAGAATATAGATTAGATTTCTTCCTGAATTCCTCATTCCCACTTTGATGGAAAAAGTAACTGCTACTTTTGCATTTGAATACCATATTCAGAGCAAGTAGAGGACAGAAGAGCTGTTTGCAGAGGAAAGGAGAAATGTTTTATATGTTTAGAAGTGGGATGTTGTTGGTTGAGACTCAAAACTTTTTTTTCACTTTGTTTTCTGAGAAAATGAATAATCTACTTGACTTTATGATTCATATGTGTATCAGGAATTGGTATTATTTTAATTATATTAATTTGAACTAAAAAATATTAGGTACTATCAATTCAGCTATATTGTGTACCATCAGCTATATTTTCCATTTGTGGTGGAATTTAATCCCCTATTTATTGTGTGAGAATTTTGCCTTTTCCCATCCAAAGAATGTTTCCATTACTACTTTTGATCTATACTTTTAAAATTATATCACTAATATATAATATTAGCTTAACTTTCTAAGTATTTTAGATTTTAACTGGATTTTATTATTTGCATTTATTTCATAAATAATATTAATGGAGTATGGGGTTTATATTACAATTTATTTATTTATTGCATCCCCACTTAATACATAATGAAACATTTTATAGGAGTTGCTGCCTATAGAAAAACATAAGATTAAAATATAGCTGGGAATTCAAGAATGCCTTTCTAATAAGAACATTTACTTGTAGATAGAACATTTATTTGTAGACATAAAAACTGTATCTTAAACAAGTCAAAATTCTAAAATATTTTCCTATTGGTTTTATCAGTGTTGTATATTAATTGACTATTTTTGTATATTTTAAGGAGCAGCCTTTATTGTTCTGATATTCCATCTATTCATCCCATATCTGAACCCAAGGATTGCCATTTGCAGAGGGATGGTTTTTATGAATGCATTTTCCAGCCAATCTTTCTATTATCTGGCTACACAATGTGGATTAGGATCAATCACTCTTTAGGCTCACTGGATTCTACACCAACATGTGTCCTTCCTGACTCTGTAGGTATGTTAAACTGTGTTGTGTCTACACTTTATTTTCTTTTTGCAATACTAGGGATTGAATCTCCACCTCTGTCTCCATTTTTATTAGCAGATTTAGTTGCAGATGGATTCAAGATTAATGTATTTTGCTATTTTCTGATTACACTGGAATTTGGAAAAAACTGTTTATAATGGAATTGAGATGATCAACCATAGAAAGTTATACATTTTAAATTTTATTTATAGCATTCAGCAATTGAAATATTTCCAGCACACTATTTGATGAATTACATGGGTCACTATGAATGAAATTTAGTAATATTTTTCTAAATAATGCATTGTTTTTTGTTTTTCTCCTAGTGAAGTTATGAAAACATCAACACTTTTAATCCGAAAGTTTAATTTGGATATTCTAGGATCTTAGTAATCTGGATAGTCATAGTCCAAGACTTTAATTTGGAGTCTGTGTTGTAAAAGCATTTGGAATATTTAAAGTGAAGTGCCTAAAACAGACAAGATGATGACGTTCATCATGATATTAAAATATTTTTTTCAAAAGGTGCTTTGACTTCAGAGGATTTAGACAATCCTTTGAAAATTGGAGCTACCCCTTCAAAACCATTGTGAAATCTTTAGGCAGTAACTATAAAACAGAGTGAAAGAATATTTTTGAATTAGAACCTACTTATTGTTAAATGTAAGATGAACTTGTTTTAATTACTAGATTTCTTTTTTGAATGTTAAGTCATAATCAATTGATTCTCTCTCCCATTATATAATTCCCTTGTAAGTAAGTGTTTTAACTTCACGTGGCATTTTTCTGGTGCTAAATATCTTTGGACAGCAAAGAATCCTTCTTCCCCAACAGCACATACAGATAACACATCATCTCTTAATTTTCCACATAACACATAATCTCTTAAGGTAGACAGAATGTCTACATTTAATCTTCATCATGGCTTGAATTGCTTAGTGGTTTCTGTGGTTGTTGTTGGTAGTGGCTGGTAGTGGAACTGGCCTTGTGAAGTTGATCCCTGGAGTTATGACAGAGGAGCTCTAGAAGCTCCCAGTTATGCTTGGGTTTCCAGGCTCTCAGTTTCAAATGCGTCACATTTCCATATTGACTTTTATTGTTAGGAGGAGAGGCCCTCAAATTAAAATGTTAAGAACTTAGGAAAATTTCTGTAGTTCACATATTTCATACATAAGCTGAAGTTTTGACTTTAGCTCTGAGAATAGCAATATAAAAAGGTGATAAGAAAATAAGGTAACTTTTTTTCTTTGCATTTCTATGGTTTGTTTTTTACATTATGCCTTTAAATATAATATGTCTTTCCTATATATTTAACTTTTAAAATGCTGTTTTGAAATATCAGGGCATATTACTTCTGTTTTTCTGCTTATTAACCTGTTTTCCTCAGATTGTACAACACCAAGATTTTACTTTGAGACTACTGTTGATCTTGACCTTAATCTATAAGTAATAATAGACATCAAGAGAAGAGTTTGAAACTGATGCATGTAGAAATTGATGATGTTTTGATCTCTAGTTAAAGGTGCATGTAGAACAGAATTTACTATAGATACTTATCATGTGTTCAGTATGGTAAATTTGCATGCAGAACCAATATCTAAATTTCTAATCAGGTATTATTATTACCATGTTGGAGTAACATGGATATCGTTCTTTTTTTTTAAAATCAGTCTGTTTGCAAAACAGAGATTATCCTTTTCTTATGTATCACATAAAGTTATAGGGGATCAGATAAGGCAATGAATGATTGTTTTAAAAAGATAGTGCTTTTTAAATAAGGTATGAAAATCTAAAATGTTTAAATTTCTATTACATAATATTGTTTTTTAAATTTCAAGTGAAACCACTGCCTCCATCTAGTGTAAAAGCAGAAATTACTGTAAATATTGGCTTATTGAAAGTCTCTTGGGAAAAGCCAGTCTTTCCAGAGAATAATCTTCAGTTTCAGATTCGATATGGATTAAGTGGAAAAGAAGTACAATGGAAGGTACATTTTTCCTTAGCTTGCCTCACTATATGCAGTTTTATATAATGTTTAAGAATTTCATGACACAAGATTAATTTTATTGACATAAAAATATATCCTTCTGAATTCTGTAGCTATTTTCACTAATTAGATTGATTAAAGTCTGACCCTTTTAGGGACGAGTTTGCTGTTCCATCATTTCCCAAAGTATGTCTCATAGAACATTGGTCTTGTGAAATGTCCCTTGAGAAAAGGTGTCATGGCTAAACGAATTTAGGAAACCCTGCACCTCTCTATCTTTCTCATGAAGAGTTGCCGTATTTTACACAGTAAAGGTCTGGAGACATAAAGATCCTACATTAAAAAAACATTTGTGAATTTGTTTCATCTCAAGTCTCCCAAACTCATTTTTCTAAGAAACTCTTTTTCCTCGAACATCTATTAATATCTTTTAGTACACCATTGTTCAATGGAATGCATTTTGAAAGAAGCTGCTTTTATTAAACAATCAGATTTGTATCCATAGTGACAAGCATGTATATGGTAGCTTTCCATGACAGTTTCGTGATGGCAGCCTGCAGAAATCTAGCAATATGAGGAACCCCAGTGATGTCCATTAGCCCATAAGTTTTACAATTAAATGAATGTAACAGTTTATCTGCTTGTGGAGCGAGACTAAATGCAGAGATTCTCTACAGAGGTAACCACTAAATTAAAATTCTGAGAAGTCTTTGTGGATAAAGAATTAGAGGAAAAAGATTAGTAAAAGGGTAAAAGAGTACTTGCAAAACGAGGTTGCAAGTGGACCAGTCCAAAATCTTGTCCTAAAGAGATCTTTGACTTAAAGGCACTCAGTCCAATCTTTGTGTGTGTATGTGTGTATGTGAGGCAAGCACTTTACCAACTGCAGTCATACCACTCTGAACGTGCCCAATCTTGCCTGATCTCAGAAGCTAAGCAGGGTCAGTCGGGTCTGGTTAATACTTGGATGGGAGACCACCTAGGAATACCCCGTGCTGTAGGCTTTTGTGCCCCTCTCCCACACACGCTCAGTCCAATCTTAATATGACTATTTCTGAAACCAGAAAAACAAAATCAGCTGTCTTTTAATTTTGAAATAGTGTTAAGGGTTTAAATAAAATTCACCAAAGACCTTTTAGATACATGTGCATCAGTAATGATTAACCTAATGCTTTGATTTAATTTACAGGTACATGAGGTATATGATGCAAAATCAAAATCTGCCAGTCTTCCAGTGCCAGACCTATGTGCAGTCTATGCTGTTCAGGTGCGCTGTAAGAGGTTAGATGGACTGGGATATTGGAGTAATTGGAGCAGTCCAGCCTACACAGTTGTCATGGATGTCAAAGGTCTGCAAGGATTATGTAAACATGATTTGAAAATCCATAAGTGTGTGCTTCAAATATGACTGAAAATATTCCTTCCCAAAACATATGTATAACTTGGGCTTCTTGTTGTTTTTTTGCAGTTCCTATCAAAGGACCTGAATTTTGGAGAACCATTAATGGAGATACTACTAAAAACGAGAGAAATGTCACCTTACTTTGGAAGGTATTCCTGCTTTTTAATGTCATTCTTAAACTTTATGTTTATACTCTTAAAAGATGTACTTATTGTTCATAATCCTGTCAATATTAATCTCTCAAATGACCTGCAATCCCATGTTTTCACTTCATTTTTTAATGTGAGTAGGATGTATAGTGATAGAATGTAAAGAGATAGGATGTATAGTAACTGGAGCATTGGCCTGGAGTTAGTAGACTCTCATTCTTTTCTCAGTTTATCATTTTATAATTATGCTATTACTATTATACTTTGACTTTTGGGGCTTCATTTTACTCATCTGTATAAATGTAAGAGTGGACCAAATGATATTTAGTGTTCCTTTGAGTCCCAAAACTGCCTTATATTTAATCCTGAACAATGTAAATGTGGTCTTCCCCTCATAGCTCAAAAGCATCTAAGACATATGAAACTGTTCTATCAATTTAATGACATATAAATAATGTTCCATAAACAATGGATATTTGATAGAAATTCCAGAGTATTCTTTCTCCCAATGAATTGATTTTTATCCCAAGTGAATAAATTATTTGATCAGTAGACACCAAATGTAAGACTGATTTGGGAATAAAGTAGTATTTATATCACCCTAAATATGAGACTCAAGTTCAGTTCTCAGGAATGAATTAACATGTTTGAAAGTGGTTGCCTGAAAAATTAGGATGTATAAGAGTTTATATACTTTTAGTTTGTAAATCCAATAATACTATACAATTTCATTTGGCTAATAAGCAATGCAATTTCTGAATGTTTTCCATTTCAATATTTTTAATGTAAAGTTTGCATTAATAACTGACACTTTTTTAAAAAAAACTTTAATTTATTTAAATTTAAATAGCCACACGTAGCTAGTGACCGTCATGATACACACCTCAACTCTGTGTGTTCTTCAGTGTTGTTCTGAGGGAGGGAGATTGACCCTTACTAATCTACCATCTTTCAAGGAACTTGAATGCCTTTTGTTAACTGAATTATCTTTCATTAACTTTGTTTTGTATGATTTTATTTTGGTTTCCTAAACTGAGGTACTAAGTCAGTGATTATGATTCCTGTGTTAGCCAGCTTTCCAACTGACATCTTACAGGGAGGAGGAAGGATTTATTTTGACTCACAGTTTCTGAGGATTCAGTCCATGGTCAGTTGGCTCCATTGCTTTTGGCTTTGTGGCAGGGCAGAGCATCATGGTGGAAGCACATGGCTGGGGAGACTGGCTGCCTTACTGTGGAGGGGAGGCAAAGGGAGAGAAAGAGGGAAGGGTGATGTCCCAATAACCCCCTTCAAGGACACACCCACAATGTCCTAACTTCCTTTCTCTAGGCCTCACCTTCTAAAGGTCCCACCACTTTCCAGTGGCACCACAAGCTATTGACAAAGGCGTTAATCCATAGCCTTTGAGGGACATTCAAGAACCAAACCATAGATGTTCCCCAGGGCTGTGCTTCTCAAACCTCTGGGGTAAAATTTGCCCAAAGGTTTATAATGAATAAGCCACAAGACCACAGGATAAGAACAGTGTGTGTGTGTGTGTGTGTGTGTGTGTGTGTGTGTGTGTGTATTTTTTTTTCCTCTGGCTTTAAGTAAAAAAAACTTCATTTTGGGGCAGTTTTATATTTATAGATAAATAGCAAAGATACAGAAAATTCCCATCTATCTCATATCAAGTTTATTAATAACATTTTAGATTAACATTATACTTTTGTTATAATTAAACAACATATATTATTATTTACTGAAATTCTTTTATTCAGATTGAGATTTCCTTAGTTTTTACTGAAGGATTTCTTTTTGGTCCATCACATTAAAGCTTCAGTAGTCATGACACCCTATACTCTTCCTAGATGTAAAAGTTTCTTAGACCTTTGTTTTTGATGAACTTGACTTATTTGAGGATTACTGGTTGGATATTTTGTAGAAATGGGTTTTGTCTGATGTTCAAATGGGTTTTGTCTGATGTTCCCTAATGTTTACTTTTTGGGAGAAAGACCACTGATGTAAAGAGGCATTCCATCATATCATATTAAGGCTGCATATTACCAATGTGACTTAATAAAGTTGGTTCTAATGCTGCTCACTTGACTGAGTTAGTTTATCAGTTTCCCATTGTGAAATTACTCATTTTTCCCCCTTTGCATGTGAAATTACTCTTTTTCCCCCCTTTCCATTTTGTACTTTTTGGAATAAACTCATTATGTACTGTCCCTGCTTAAGGAGTGAGAGCTGTATGTTCCACCTCCTTGAGAGTGGAGGATCTACTTAAATTATTGAGATTTTGCATGGGAGATTCATATATTTTCCTACATTTATTTATTTATAACTATGAAAAATGCATATTCACACTATACTTTAGGTCATGTTCTAATACAGGTTAAGTATTCCTTATGCTAAGTGCTTGGGACCAGATGTGTTTCAGATTTTGAAGGTTCTTTCCTTCTCTCTCTCTCTTTCTTTCTTTCTAGTGAATTATAATTATACATAATATTGGGGTCCATTTTGACAATATTATACAAGCATGGAATATAATTTGCTCCAATTCAGTCCCCAGCACTTCTCTCCCCTCCTTCTACTCCTGTTCCCTTTCCTCTACTGGTCAGTCTTCTATTTATTTTATATTTTATATTTTATTTTTTTAATTAATGGATTAAAGTTATCTCATAAGGGACTTATAACCAAATTACACAAAGCACTCTTAAAATTTAAACAATAGGAAAACAACCCAATTGCATACATCTAACCAAAGTAAATATACTAATGGTAAATAAAAATATTAAAACCATTTAACAAAATTTGTCATTAAGGACTTTCGAAGTGTAACAACAATGAGATACCATTTCACACTTATTAGAATGATTGAAGTAAAACAACAACAACAACAAAAACCTGAAATACAAATTGATGATGAGGATGCAGGACAATAAGAATTTTTATTTATTGCTGGTAGGAATGCAAAATCATCCCTCTACTTGGGAAGGTTTGGCAGTTTCTTAAAGTGTTAAATGTAGCCTTACCATATGATGCAGCATTGCACTCCCAGTTATTACCCAGGTGATTTGAAAACTTATTTGTTCACATAAAAACTTGCACATGGATGTTCAAACTGCTTCATTCATAAATCACTCTAAACTGGAAGCAACCAAGATACCCTTCAAAAGTGAAACTGTTCTGTGTAATACTGAAATGATAGGTATATAGCACTGTGCATTTGCCAAAACCCATGAGCTTTATAGCACAAGGAGTGATTTGAAATGCATGTAGATTTTTTAAAAAAAATCCAAGGATGTTGGAACATCCCAGGATGGAATATAGACCATGACAAGGTGGTAGGAGAAAAGTCCTTAAGTAAGTGGAAAGGTGTGGAGTTTTACTACTAAAGCTGAAAGAAACCACAATAAACACTGAAATGTAGTTGATGTGTCTCTCATGAGAGTATAGACTAACAGTATTGAACCACTATACATATCCTAGAATAGAACAAGTAAGTAAATGAATGGCAAGTGGTGAGATACAGGTTTCTCACTGTTGGAAGGGGAGGTTACAGATAAGCAAGGGGAGGAGGTTAGAGTGATCCATATGGTCATTAATTAGGGTTGGAGACATGATCATGGATTCGAGTTGAAATATAAACTCATATTTAGCTTAGCATAGGTGGACTTTTGAGGGAATATTTAGAGATATGTGTATATGCAGGAGTTAATTCATACGTACATTTCCGTGATTTGTAAGCTAAGAGCTAAAAGTAATGACACTCAAGTATAAGAAGCATGCCCAGATTTATTTCTAATATCATTATCCAATGAAAGGAACAGCAGGGGCTGGGGTTGTAGCTCAGTGGTAGAGTGCTTGCTTAGCATGTATGAAGCACTGGGTTAGATCCTCAGCACCACATAAAAAATAAAAAAATAAACATATGGTGTCCATTTACAATCAGAAATGTTTAAAAAAAAGAAAAAGAAAGAAAGGAATAGGGATCTTGAGAGAAATGGCTAATGTTAGGGCTGGGGCAGGAACTATATAAGATGAGCCTATAGCATCTTGTAGTAGATGTTTATTATTGATGATTACAATAATAAATATTTGTATATTAAAACTGACATGGATTATTCAAATAAGATTCAAAGTTTGCATGACTTTCGAGATATTTCTTTCTTGCTGTAGCTGCTAACATTTTACTCCCAATCTATGCACAGGATTCTAAGAAATACATGTGTTTGTTTTTCTCTATCATTTCTGACTTAGAGGCATCTAAATGGGGGGAAAAATAAAAGCAGATTTCTAGTATGTAGTCACCTTTCTATGGCTTTATAAGGGATTGGTAGCTTTTAATCTTACCTCTAACAGGTCAAGATGATTGGAAAAATTGGGTATGTTTTTAAGCTCTGTAGAATAGAATAGAGTTGTACTCAGTATATATTTTACATAGTAATCTTTGACCTAGTGTGATTTGAGAAAAATAAAACTATAGGATAGAAATGCTGATAGCCTCTGTTATTTGTTAACCTTTCCCCAATCTTCCAAGCATATCAGAGCAATGACTGACAGATCTTACTAGGATTAATGTAAATGATGATTAATATCTTCTTAGCTCTTTCTTGTTACTTTACAGAATATGAGAGTTAGTTCTTATTTGCTTTTGAGATGAGGAAACCCTATGTCTTGTCATTCTTTCTTTCTCTAAAATTAGAGTGAAGTGTCTTATTAGAAAAGTGTCCTAATTATCTCATTACTTCATTATTTTTGAGGGATTTATTCTCCCAGTCTTAAGAAAAAAACAAAAACTAAAACAAAGAAAAATGTTGGGGTAGTTGGGGGGGGAGATTAAGTTTCCTATGCTCCATAATTACCCAGACATCTGTTTGGTGGTTGTGGTCCCAGGCAGCCTCCATCTCTCCCCACCTTCCCAGTCCCTCCGCATTATTAATAGGCAATGCCTGGTCTGATTCCTGCCTCCCAGTGGCAAATGTATAAAAGCTGCATGAGCTCAGCTGATATAAAAAGCACTGTGTTCTTCAAACTAATCAATTTTTATGTTTACTACAGCCCCTGATGAAAAATGACTCATTGTGCAGTGTGAGGAGATATGTGGTAAAGCATCATACTTCCCACAATAGAACATGGTCAGAAGATGTGGGAAATCACACCAAATCCACTTTCTTGTGGACAGAGCAAGCACATACTGTTACAGTTCTGGCCATCAATTCAATTGGTGCTTCTTTTGAAAATTTTAATTTAACATTGTCATGGGCTATGAGCAAAGGTAAGAAGATATACAGAGTAGTAATCTGTTGTCCCTTTTAATATTTAACTTTTGCAAAGCATTCTCTTTTTAACTTATCTTCTGAGAAGCCTGGGGTTCTCTTTCATGCTTTATCTCTTCTTTGACTGAAAAATAACAAAATACAGTATACAAAGGTTATGTTCATGTGATAGAACATTGTTGAAATGGTATTATAATAATTGAAAATATTCTACTAAATCTAATACTTAAACTTTTGTAGCAATGGAGGTTGTAGGTCAGTGTCCCCTTTCTCTGTTCATGTGCAAAAATAAACTCATATAGTATTTTATGTATAAATATATAGTATAGATAGTCTACTATATATATGTACTTTATAATATGTGGTATATTTACATATAATACTTTATACACAAAACACTATACATTCATAGTAATATGACACGTTATATGAATACAGGTTAATTGCTGAGATTTGAAAATTACTGTAGACTTCATTTACTGTGAGTAGCAAACCCTTTTTCATTAATTTTGATATATGATTAATCAGAGAATCAAGGACCACTTTCAATAGGAGTTTCAATTCTGATTATATATTCAAAGTATAAGTTTTTAATAAAAATGCAACATTTTTTAACTTATTGTGTAAACTTCTTGTAAGTTTGACAATGCCCAGTACAACATTTATACTTAAATTTTTTTTCAGAAAATGTGTTCTAGAAGTATTTGTTGAATGCTTCAGTGTGCTAAAGTGGGGAAGTTTCAACATGAGAAAAAACTATAATGAGGCATAGTCAGAGTCAATGGATGGGATAGATATGAATCAAATAATCATACAAGTGATTGGCTACTTATAAGCTAAGTGTCCTTAAGAAAGGAATATAATTTTATGAAATTAAAAAATGAATAAATAAAAAGGAACATGACCTGGCATTGAGGATCAGAGAAGTCACCTTGAGGAAATGATATTAAATTGAAATCTGAAGTGTGAATAGAAGTTAGATTTCCTCATTTGTGGGGTGGGGTGAAGAACATTGGTCCCAACAGAGGAGCAGCTGATCAAAAGTCTTTTTAGCACAGGATAAGAAGGAAAACCAGGATGGTTTTATTGTAGAAATTTGCAAAAGTCAGAGAAGTAGGCTGAGACTTGGCCCTCAGAGCCTTTTAGACATGATAGGAATTTTAGGCTCAGATGTGGAAATCGACTGGAGGCTTTTAAGTCAGAATTTGTGCTGAGGGTATTAAAATGAACAGATTTTTTGCTTTGAAAGCATCACTGTGTCAGCAGGAGAGAAGAGTTTGGAGAGAATCCTAGAGGATGGTTAATAGGCTTGTGCAGGATTCCAGCTGAGAACAATTTTGACTCTCGAGAAAATTCCTTTTTTTAGATCTTAGGTGGAATCATTTTTCTCCTCCATATCATGTATTCCTATCTCTCTCTGCTTATGTGACTCTCATGATGGAAAAATAATTGGTATGTATTACATTTACATAAATTGTCTGCTGTCTTTTCTCCCTTCATCCAATAGGTCATAAGTTCCTCTAGGGTATTAATAAATTTTCATTAATTTTAATTTAAAAATAAATGTTCTCTTTTCCCTTCAGTAAATCTCATGCAGTCCCTCAGTGTTTATCCTTTAAACAGCAGTTGTGTGATTCTTTCCTGGGTGCTATCACCCAGTGATTACCGTCTCATGTACTTTATTATTGAATGGAAAAATCTTCATGAAGATGATGAAATTAAATGGCTTAGAATCCCTTCAAATGTTAAGAAATATTATATCCATGGTAAGTGTACTATACTTTCTTTTTCTTTTCTTTCTTTCTTTTTTTTTTTTTGTGGTAATGGGGATTGAACTAAGGCCTCATGCATGTGAGGCAAACACTCTACCACTGAGCTACATACCCAGTCCTAAATTTACTGTATTTTAAAAAGTTTGGCTCATGGATTAATATGATACTGTATAAATTAATTTAAATAATTTAGCTAGTTAATGAAAACTTTAAAAACATAGATAGTACTACCAGCTTAATACTTCTATCACTTTATCAAAACATTTGATTCTATTTCCCTTGACCTTTTTTCATTTTAATAATTTACATCATTGTAATCATATATCATATATATTTGACCCAATCCTTTCTATCTATTTTTAATGCCCATATAACTTTTTATTTCCAAATCTGCTTAAACTACTTGAGATTATTTATGTTGCTTTCAGCTTTACCTTTTTTAAAATATTGCCAAATTGCTTTCCCAAAATATGTACTCGCTTATAATGTCACTAGCAATGAGTGGGAGTGGTAGGCCACAAATCTAAGCATCTAAGTAACCACTTAGGCCAGTGTGATCTCTCAGCAGTATAACAGTTATCCCAAGGGACATGTAAAGCACAGATTGTAAGTGTTTAATACAGCCTCTCCAAGTCAGAGTAAGGATTAAGGGAAAGTAAGTAGGTAAACTAAGGATTACCATGATCTTATCACAGAAAATCATCCAAAGGACTTACACTTTCATTTCATTCCAGAAACTTATAATTTAGCATCAGGGTAAATTTGTTTATAAATTCTTGATAGAGAACTGAGTTCATGACCACTGTTGTCTAGGTGGTTACTCTCTCTGCCTTTCTTTAAATAATGGGGATATAGAATTTAAGCTTCAAAAAGATCTGCCTCTTCTAGAATAATATTCACATGTTATTAACAATCATGAAAATCCTTGTTAGGTCTTTGAGCTTTGCCACAAGCATGGCTATTCTCCTGGTATATAGACCTCCATATATTGCAAGAGGAGGCTTGGTCATCATATCCAACCGCTTTGCGAAGGATTTCACAAGACTTTAGTCTTTCAATTACCTTTATTGGGGAAACTAAGTAAACTAAATTCCTATAGAAGGGAAATATTACCTACTTTGAGGATAAGGGAGAGAAGGGAGTACATATTATTCTGGAAAAATGAAGGAAAGAAAGCTCTTATTCTGAATTGAACATAGTGGCTATAACTGAAACACACCTTTGAAAAATCACAATCTTCTGAGTAATATATTTGAAAAGTTGTTTGGAAAACTATTATCATTACTAGGGAGTGTGGAATGCTTAGGTTATTTTCAAAACTTCATCATCAGTTCAGTCTATGAATAACTGCTGACTTCTGTTTGGAAAACAGTATATATATATATATATATATATATATATATATATATATATATATTTATTTTAAATAGGGTCTCCTCAGTATTAGTTAAGCAGAAATGAACTTTTACTGTATTTTCCTCCTCAGATCATTTTATCCCTATTGAGAAGTATCAGTTCAGTCTTTACCCAGTATTTATGGAAGGAGTGGGAAAACCAAAGATAACTACTAGTTTCACCCAAGGTAAAAGTTTTTCTTTTAGATCATTTTACACTGATATGTGTTTCCAGATTTATTTGAAATTATGTTGCCATTGGATTATTCTTTTTCTGATGAGATCATGGAAGAGTCAAGTCTTATGTAAATGTAAAATAGGATGGTTCAAAAGAAAATATCTTTTCTCTAAAAATAAAAATAGATAGTTATACAGTTACATTCACTGCACCTTTTATATTTCTGCTGTGATTTATTGTACTTGAATTACCAATGATTTGATCTTATTTTTCTTTAATTGTCTTCAAATTCAAACAACCCAATAATATACTTTTGGTTTTGGTATTGGGTATTGAACCCAGCAGCAATTAACCATATCCTCAGCCCTTTTATTTATTTATTTTGAGATAGGGTCTCACTAAGTTGCTTAGGCCTTGCTAAACAGCTGAAGCTAACTTTGAATTTGCCTCAGATTCCCAGACCGCTGGGATTAGAGGTGTGCCCCACCATGCTTGGTTCCCAATAATGTAGTTTTTATAAAGAAACATTTTATCTGATTTTAGAATGGAAATAACTCTAAAAATTATTTCAGTATTTAACAAACATTTATTGATATAATCTAAAGGTAATCTGATAGAGTGGTGTGGCAAAGAAATAATATTGTTCTAAGAACTGGAGGTTAAAGGGTGAACATAAGATTCTGTCATCATGGAGCCTAAACTCCAGTGCACTAATGGGAGTGATGGACAAAGAAAGTATGTAAAATATAATGTCAGATAGAAATAGGTACCTAAAGGAAAAATAAAAGTAAGATGAAAGAATGGAGTTAAAAATGTGTTGCTTTAGTTAGTAAGGCCAGAAATGGTAATTTTGTGGTGCTGATATTTGCGTATAAAAGGGAGGAACACTCCAGGCAAAGCGGTAGCCTTATGTAAAGGCCCTGAAGAATGAGCATAGTAATTCTAGAAACAGCAAGGAGGTCAGTGTGTCTGGAGGGAACAAGATAAAGTTTGGCAAGTATTTTAGATTGGGTTTGTTGGGAGAAGATGCTACGACTCATCATGAAAACTTTTTTTAAAAAATCTGTTCTTTTTAGATATACATTACAGTAGAGTGTATGTTGACATATCATTCATACATGATGTATAACTTCCCATTTTGTGGTTATACATGATGTGGCATTTCACTGGTGGTATATTCACATATGAACATAGGAAAGTTATGTCCAATTCATTCCATTGTCTTTCCTATTTCAATCCCCCCTCCCTTTCATTCCTTTCCCTTTGTCTAATCCATTGAACTTCTATTCTTCTTCCCTCCCCCTTCTTGTGTGTTGGCCTCCACATATCAGAGAGAACATTTGACCTTTGTTTTTTGGGGATTAGCTTATTTCACTTAGCATGATAGTCTCCAAATCCATCCATTTACCAGCAAAAGTCATAAAGTCACTCTTTTTATAGCTTAGTAACATTCCAAAGTGTGTGTGTGTGTGTGTGTGTGTGTGTGTGTGTGTGTGTATCACATTTTCTTTATCCACTCATCTGTTGAAGGTGTCCTTCAACACCTGGTTTGGCTCCATAGCTTAGTTACTGTGAATTGAGCCATTATAAACATTGATGTGGCTGTGTCATCATCACAAGTTTGATACTTTGACTCATATCTAAAGATAATCTGATGGAGTGGCATGGCAAATAAATAATTTTGAAAAAATTTTTGCTAGGTCTTAAGTATAATGCTAAACAAAACATTAATGTGGATATAATATACTTTTGTCTCCCTCTTATTTTTTAAGACAAAGATTTATTTTGAAATCTGAAAAAGTCTACTATAATTTTGATACAGAAAGAAATTAAGATTGCCTTAAGTATCTGAATTGTGTGAATTATATTTCTTTTTCAGATGATATTGAAAAACACAAGAATGATGCAGGTCTATATGTAATTGTGCCGATAATTATTTCCTCTTCTGTCTTACTGCTTGGAACATTGTTAATATCACACCAAAGGTATTGTACTTAATGTTAATAATCTTTATGGCAAAAGCTCTAAGATTAAAACTTGAATCATGAATGTTGAAGTATTCTAAATGTTTTTGTATGTATTCATTATACAGTTAAGATGGTATAAAGTAAAAAGTTTTGCTTTCAGGAAATGACTTTTCAATTTCATAGAACAACATATACCTTAAGGAAGAATTTAGTTGAGTCTTTTTTTTAACCCCTCTTATTATACACTCAGGAGTTAATAGACTAAAAATAGAAGCCTGGGCATATTCTTGGATGTGATAAAAATGGCTCTTGGAGCCCTCAAATTTGGTTTGAAGATTTTAGTGGTGATCACAGGACTTTAAAAATGGACTTTATTTGTGACCTGAAGCAGTTGTTCATGTGCAATGAGCAGTCACTGTGCTCTTTAGAGAACAGCCCTGCCTGGCTTGTCAGACAAATGGCCTTGAGTTCCCTGGATGGTTCTATGGCTGCCATATCATTCCCTGCTGAGAACTCCTGACCATTGAGGTTATTTCACACATGCCAAATCTCTATAGAGACTTTTATCTTCTAGGAAAAAAGAGGGAGAGATTTCAGAATCTGTTTTTGTTTTTTGGTCAGTTGAGTTGCTGGGGCTCTATCAGATAGGTTTGTTTCTGACACCCATGTGGTAGCCATTTTCAATATTTTATTTTTTGAGAAAAACCTATGCAAAAAAATCTGTGTTTAGCCTGTTGCCTGGCACAAGCTTTCAATAAAATGAGCTGTTTTATTATGATGCATCATTAACTTGGCTCTAGGTAGAAATTTGATGGCACTCTTCATGGGACAGAATGTAAAAATGAATTAGACCCTGCTGAAGCATAACTGCCCTGAAGGACCAATTTCTATTTTGTATATTCATTAACTTTTAGCATTTTCAATATGCATGTTTTTCTGTAATTCTTATGACTTATTTATTTATCCTTTGTAGAATGAAGAAGCTGTTATGGGAAGATGTTCCAAACCCCAAGAATTGTTCCTGGGCACAAGGACTCAATTTTCAGAAGGTCGCTTTTTCAATCTTTTTAACCCAAAATATGTAAGATTGCATTTTAGATGCCATATGATTTCTAAAACTTTAAACATGTTTTAAGATATAAGAGTTTTTGTTTTATTTAATTCATTTTAATTTGAGTCTGTTTAGACCTTTAAAATATCAGAATGCAGGTATTTGAAATTAGGAAGAAAAGAAATTCAGTACTAGCTTATATATGACTTGACAATATGCATATATTTCTTCTGGCCATTGTAGAAAATAAAATGAATAGTAGAATACTAAGGATCAAATATGATGAATAATAGATATTTGGCCACGTTTTTGGTATAAATTCTCTTTAGGCAAAAGGCTTTGTGTCGTTATATTTAAACTATGATTTAATGTCCATAATTATTTAAGGAAACTTGAAAATTATATAAATAATCTTGTCCTCAAACTCTACAAACTGAAAAATGCATTTATCATAAAAACCCATGTTTATGCAGATATTCCCCTTTAAGCTAAAATACTTTATGTAATAGTTACCTACAAAAAAACTTGAACTTACTTCTATAATAGAATATTTTAGAAAAGTCTAGAGTTTAATGAATGTTTTTATTAATCCTCATAATTTTCCTTGAACAAGGTTGTCTTTCCACCTATAACATTGAAAAAAATCAAATTTGCTCTTCATGTCAAAATACACAATTTTTAAAATAGTAATTATTTCGAGGTTATTATGTAGTATTAGCAATTACATGTTTATCATTACTCGTTTTAGTCTTCAGTGGGGTTTTTTCTTTTTTTGGCTACAGGATACAAATTCTTAATCTAGTATTCAACACTTCTCTCTACATTCTGTTGTCAATCTTCATGTACAGTTGTTTCTTCCCCTGGGCCTTGGTTGTACCTTTACTGTTTCATTCTAGCTATGCAGAGTCTTCCTCTTCGGGGAAGATCTTGCTCTACACCCTTCTTTCTCCAAGCTTTCCTTTCATGAATATAGTTCAGAAGAATTTCTGTCCTATTTAATTTCCTAGACCTTATTGTGGATAATTCTCTGAGTGCAAGGACTGCATTTTATCCATCACACATGTTTGTGAACTTTTCCTGCTCCATGCAAGATGCTAAAGTAGGATTCATTAAATAATTACTGGTAGTTCCTAACAAGGTTGTGCACTTATTTATGTGCAGATCACTGAGATAAATACTCTTGGGTTCATATAGACTGTCCCTTCAGTTCTCAGTATCTTTGTTTCCTCTCCTGTAAAATGAGGTTAAGTTAGCTTTATTGGGTTGTATTGGAGATTAAAGGAGATGGACCTTTCATGACATTGAAAGATCTCAATAAATATTAGTCATTATTATTTATGATATTATGTTACATATTTTAGATTAATTATTAGCTCCATTTTGTAGAAGAGGTAGTGTTTTAAAGCCAGGATTAGTGTTCCAACTTGTCTGACTTTGGAGCCTATAGGGGGGTTCTATAAGCAGTGACTTTCTATATATATATTTATATACTTCTATATTTGACCATGATCCACAGTGATAAATATATTTCACCTTTCAGCCAAGTACACACACAGATATAGAGATGTAAAAGGAAAACAAAAGATGCACAGGTGGAGCAAATTATATTCCATGCTTGTATGATCAAAATAAACCCCAATGTATAACTATAATGCACTAATAAAAACATTTTTTAAAACATTGAATTTATGATTATATTCCTGTCAGGAATGTATAAAATTATCTCATTGCTCCTCATCATTATTTATTATAATTATTTAAAAATGTACTTTAAGTTTAACTTACATTATTTGAATTATTAAAGATTATTTAAAATATTTTATACGTCATTAAAAGTAGTGTTTCAGTGTTAAAAAGAAACAAAAAAACCACTACTTGCTTGAAATAGAAGGAATATAATGTTATTAAAATTCTATTTCATTTGTTAAAAATGTTCTTTGTAACCCAGTAAGTTGATTTCAGAACATTCAATGGTCTATGATCTTGAAATTAGGAAATGTAATTTACAGCTTATTAATGAATGAATACACAAGTAATACTGTAAGCATAATTAACAATACAGAAGACTGAGTTATACTCTTTTATCAGAAGAAAGCAATGCCCTATTTTCAGAAGAGCCGGGAGTGTAGTTTCACTTATAATCTTTCTCTTTATGGAAACTGCACCTTGCTTGACTTTAGGCACAGGCCTGCATACTCCTTGGTTGTGCTGTTGCTCACTGTGAACCATGGAGTCTCCCTTTATTACAACAGAGTTGCTGATTTTTGTCAATTACAAAACATTTATTTCTCTTCTTTTCTATTGTTATATTTCAGGTGCATATATACATATATATGTGTGTATATATATATATATATATATATATATATATATATATTTCATTCATTTGTTCAAGAAGCAAATATATATATAAGGTTAGGTTGTTGCTCATCTGTAGAACAGATTTTCAAGAAATTCTCCTATCTAAAAAATAAGACAGTAAGGTTAAAGAAGAGTGACTCAATTGAAAGAATAGGAAGAACTTGTATTTTTTGCTTCTCTAAAATAGATTATTCATTTTTCATTCATTCATGTATTTATTTCATTCATTTAGGATATTATTGAATACCTTTCCTACGCTAGTCACTTTGCTATCTCATAGTGTTGTAATAATAAGAAAAGTACTGCACATTCCTGGCCGGGAAAGTACTGGACATTCCTTGGCAGGGAAAGATGAGCACTAACCAGTTTATTATAGAAATAACATTACAATCATAAACTACAGTGGTGCTAAGAACTTATGGTGTGGCCTGGTGTAGTGTGTGGGGTGGGGAGGAGCAGGTACAGTTAAGAAGGTGCAGTAAGAATCCTTCCAACACCTCCAGGTCCACATGTTCTGTCTGTATTGATAGCCTCCTCTTGAAGACTCTGCTCCAGTTACACAAGCCTCCTTGTTCTTCCAGAATGCATAGACACAATCTTGACCTTTGACCCAAGATCTGGTAGGTAAATAGTTATTCACAGGCTCTGGGAAGACCACCTGTAAAGCCATGTGGTTGGACGGATCAGAGCATGTTTACAAATTGGAAATGGACTGGAGGTGAAAGAGTAAGCTGGAGGTGAAAGAGTAACTTTTCTTTTTCTTAAATATAAAGGTTTTGTCAAAATAATTACCTACTTAAATAAAGATTAAAACTTCTCTATATAAGTCTATATTAATTCATGGATGACCATCTTATTATTTCTTAGAAAGAACTAAAATCCTCTCTCTTCAGCATGTTCATGCGACACCTTACCTGGGAACCACCATGGACATGCTTCTAAGTATTTACCTGGCAAGGGAAAGATCAGTCCCACCTCAGCAAGGTGCAGTGTGAATCCACACCAGATGACTTTCCCTGTGTCTAGAAAACGCTGGCACAAAGAACTGCTGAGTGGGTACAGGGTGGTTGACTTTGTCATGGACTCCGTCCTACCCCACTGTCTGCTTTAACACACCCTGAAGATCAACATGGTGCCTAGCTGGTCATCTGCCAGATCTTACATACAAGAAAAATGAAATATCACCAAAAATTTCCAGATTCTGGTAAATTAAAGAATTTTTTGATACTTACAGAAGATGTGAAAATCTTTATTTATAAGTAAGACTGATTGTTTTTTTATCTTTGCAAATATTTGGTTTTCTAATCTTAGAAGATATTTTCTAAACAGTCACAAAAGCTTAGTTTATTACTAGGACTTAACAGGTGATTTAGAAATAATAAGTTTTTTTTTTAATAAAGTAGGAATATTTAAAGAGTGAAAAATATAACTTCAAAGAATTTATTAATGATAAAAATTCTCATAAAAAAGAGAAAAATGTTATATCTAGTCTTCTGCTTTAATCTCCAAAATAACTAAAATTTACATATTAAAGAAAAAACAATACAGTGAAACTCACTTTATGTTACCAAAGAAAAAATGACAAGTTTACTCCCTGTCCTGTGCTTTCATATTTGTTATTTTATTTAATTCTTTCATAGCTTAAAGAGCCCAGTATTCTCTGATGACAAAACTGAATCTCAGAGTAGTTCAGTAGCATGTCTTGACCACCCAGCCAGTACATATAAAAACCTGCATTCCAACCCAGGTCCATCTGATGCAAACTGATACCCTGGTCATTAGTTCCATAATAATAATGTGTCTATTTCTTAATGTACTAAATACTACTGAATTACATACCTAAAAATAATGGAAATGGTAAATTTCATGTCTATATGTTTTAACATAGTAAATAAATGGGCAAGAAATCTGACTTGGTATATATCCAAAGGAGGTATGGAAATAACCATTTGTGCTTACAAAGTGAAATATACTTGACATCATTAGACATTCGGGAAATGCAAGTCAAAAACCAAAGGTCCCACTTCACACCTGGCAGGATGGCTATAAAAGAAGGATAAATATTGGTGAGAATGTGGAGAAATGGAACCTTCATCTACTCTGATGGATTGTAAAATAGTACCACCCTTTTAGAATATAGTCTGACATATCTTCAAAAGATTAAATATGAGACTCAGCAATTCCACTCCAATGTATACACCAACATAAAATGAAGTAATTTATTCACATGGAAATTTGACATGAATTTTCATGTCAGGATTATTCATGATAATCGAAACATGAAGAAAAATGACCTTCAAATAATGAATGGGTAAATAAAATGAAGTTTATCCAATTCTAAAACAAAAGTAATAAAAAAGCAAATAAAACCCCTATAAAGTACCATAAAACAAAGACCACAGTAGCCCATCATTTTAAAAAATAATTCAAATACAGTCATTTTTTAAGGAAGTAATAATTTTTATATAAAATATTTTCTTTAATTTGTTCTCCAAATTCAGATTTTTAGAAACATTTTTGTTTTACAATACTGGGAACTGAACCCAGGGATTTTTGCCATTGATCAACATCTCTACCTCTTTTTATTTTCAGACATTGTCTCTATAAGTTGACAGGGCTGTCCACCTGGTTATAAAT